GGAAATAGGGAGCCAATTTCTTCGCGGCAATGTAGAAGGCGTAGACGACCTTCTCGAGCCGGGAGTACCGGAGCTCGGGACCATGTAGCGCGTGGCTTACATAGTACACCGGTCGCTGGACCCCTTCCGGATCGGTTCGGCACAGTACTGCGCTTACTGCACGATCGGAGACGGCGAGGTACACGTCTAGCTCTTCTCCGAGCTCGGGCTTTGAGAGCACAATGGGTGACATGAGGTACTCCTTCAATTCATTAAAGGCCGCTCGGCATTCCTCGTCCCAGACGAATCCATTCACTTTCCTCAATACCTTGAAGAAAGGTAGAGCGCGCTCGGCTAACTTGGAGAGGAATCGACTGAGGGCTGCCAACCGACCGGTTAATTGCTGGACTTCCCGAACGGTGGAAGGTGGTTGCATGTCCAGAATTGCTTTTACTTTGGCCGGGTTGGGCTCAATTCCTCTCTTGGTCATCATGTAGCCGAGGAACTTGCCGGTCTGAACCGCGAATGTGCACTTGGTCGGGTTCAGCCGCAACTGGTACTTCCTCATGATCTGGAAGCACTCCCGAAGGTCCCGAGTGTGGTCGGATCGGTCCCGACTCTTGACCAACATATCGTCGATGTAAGCTTCCATCGTTCGGCCCAGCAGATCAGCAAAGAGCATGTTGACCATCCTCTGGTAGGTGGCTCCTGCGTTCCGCAGACCGAACGGCATCACTCGGTAACAATACAGCCCATCCGGGGTCACGAAGGCTGTCTTGCTCTCGTCTTCATGGTGCATCATGATCTGATGGTACCCCTTGAAGGCATCCATGAAGCTCATTAACTCGGCCCCGGCCGTCTCGTCGACCATCTGGTGAATGCTCGGTAGAGGATACGGGTCGAGCGGACAGGCTTTGTTGAGGTCCGTGAAATCGATGCACATCCTCCATGCTGGGGGCTTCGGGACAAGAACGATATTTGCCACCCACTCGGGATAAATCACCGGACGGATGTGCTCGATGGCCGCCATCTTTTTGACTTCCTCCCTGACAAACTCACGGCGATCGGATGAAAGGTGTCGTGTTTTCTGCACGACCGGCTTTGCTGCGGGATCGACGGCTAACTTGTGACAGATGACCGACCGATCGATCCCGGGCATGTCTTCGGGCCCCCACGCAAAGATATCAGCGTATTCCCGAAGTACGGCCAAAACTTCCGCTCGGAGCTCGGGAGTGAGGGCTCGGCCAATCTTGATCTTCCTGTCAGGGCGGCCCTCGGACAGGGGAACTTCTTCTATCTCTTCGGAAGGCTCGGGCTGCTCCTTCCGTTCCTTAGCCTCCTCTTTGGCTATAGTGTTCACCCGGGAAGATGGACCGGAATCACGTCTATTAACCGCTCGGGTGTAACACTTCCGGGCGGATTGGACATCGCCACGGACCACGCCGACCCCGTTAGGGGTGGGGAATTTCATGCACAGGTGGGGCATAGAAATTATCCCACCGATCTTCATAATGGCGGGTCGGCCCAAGATAATGTTGTGGACGCAATGGAGGTTGACCACAACAAATTCCAGCTCCGTTTGGATCGACTTTGGAGGCGTGCCGATCTCAACCGGGAGCATTATTTTTCCCTCGGGGTAAATAAGAGCCCCGGTAAATCCTGACAGTGGTACACCGACCGGAGTCAGCTCCTTCCTGTCAAGGCCAAGCTTCTCAAACACGTCCAAGTATAGGACGTTCACGCTGGTGCCCGTGTCAACCATAACCCTCTGGACGTCTGTCCCCTTAACGTCGATCGTGACCACGAGCGCCTCCACGCCGTGATCACTGCTGGTAGGTTGGTCCTCAAGGGTGAAGGTTATGGGTTCCATCTTCTGCCTCTTCCCGGTTCCCCGGGAATCCACTATTGCGACCGGGCAATTAGTCCGCGGTCGGGAAGCGTCTTCCAGCCCACCAAAAATGACGTGGATGGTAGGCTTTCCGGACGGGCGGCTACCGGACGGAGGGTCGGGGTCCCGTCGGTCATCATGACGATCATCCCTTCTGTCTTGCCCAGATCGATCAGAGCGGTGATGGGAACGTCTATGATCCCTCCGATCGGTGTTCCTTTTGTTTTCCTCTCTCTTCCCCACACACTTGTCTAATTTTCCCAAATTGAGCAAATCTTCCAATAATTGGCGCAAGTGGGTACACTCCTCGGTGTCATGCCCGGCGCATCGATGGTAAGCACAATGCTTACTCTTGTCAGGGCCGTCTCGATCGGGATGGGGAAGTTTGATGAGATTGCAGGACTGGGCATATTGCATGGCCTCCGCTGCGGATCGGTTCAAGGCCGTAAACTCGCCATGCCTGGTGCGGGGTCGGGGATTGTCATCTCCCGATCGATGTTCTGCCCGGCTGGCCGGTTTACGGGACGAAGAGCCGACCTCCTGCGAGCGCTTGACGGCATTCGCCTCACCTGCGTTGGCATAATCAGTGACCCTTCGGAGGGCCTCCTCATAGGTGGTCGGGGGGTGGAGGATAAAATCCTGGTACAGATACCCCGCCCGGAGGGAGATGTGAAGCATGTGAGTGGCGGTCGCATCATCCATGGGCTCGACCTCCCCGACCGCTGCCTTCCACTTGATGAGGAAGTCGGTCAAGCTTTCCCCTTCGAGCTGCTTGGCCTTTTCGAGGTACATATAGGACTTCCTCACCACTTTGGAAGTAATGAACTTCCGTACAAACTTGATCGCCAGGGTCTCAAATTTGTCGATTGACCCCGGCTGCAGGGTTCGAAACCATTCTGCCGCCCGACCGGTGAGGGTTGAGTAGAAGGCCCTGCACATCACGGCGTCTGAAACGCCCTTCAGCATCATATTGCTGAAAAAATCATTCACGTGAGCCTCAGGATCTGTCCGACCGTCGTAACTCTTCTCTCCCGAGACCTTTAAGTCGAGCGGGTAAGGCTGAGCCATTACCGCTGATGTGAAAGGCGTCTGGTGTAGGGTCGATCGGTCGGCCGGGGGTGCTGTAGGATACGCACTCCTGAGCTGCGCAACTTCAGCCTGGAGGTTGTAGAGCAATCCTCGGGTTTCGTTGAGCTCGGCGGCTTGAGCGGCTTGGGCTGTATCCCGAGCGCGTCGCCGTCGGTGAGATCTCGACCCGCTATACCCGGATGAAGCCTCGTGGCTAGCTTCCTGCATTTGTACGTCCTCTTGCCCGCGATTCGGGTCTTGGGGTCCCAAACGCTGGCGCATCTCTGGTCGGAGACGATCAAAAGCTACCGCTCGGGCAACTTCTTCAGGGTCCTCCGCTTGAACGGCCTGAGCTGGTGCCTCCATCGCATCAGCACCCCCCGACCCCAACCGCGAATGAGCCGAGCGTCGAGCCCGGGATGTGGACTGACGCTGCGGCTCTACTTGTGCGGTCGGTTGTACTGGAGGGGCGGCGGCTGGAGCTGTATAGGCAGGCGTATACGGTGCATAACCAACCGGGGAAGTGTAGCACATCGGTTGGCCTGGCCAATACCCATACGGTGGAGGTGGGACCGGGTACGGATACTGGGCGGGATACATCATCGGCTGCTGCTGGTATGGCAGACCGGGTGGTGGGTATCCCGGTTGTATGTAATTCACCGGCTGCTGGGCGGCCGGGTATGTATTTGATGGATGTGGTGGCGAGAGGTTGAGGTTGAGGTCCATCGTCTGACCCTGCTGTTGGGTAGCATAGTGGTCGGAGGAGCTTGCCGCATCCGCCTGGTCGTCAGCAAAGTTGTTGTGTGCCCACGGATACATGTCGATATGGTGATCGGGTGCTCGTCAAGACGTTGGTTTCTTGCACGGGTCCCCACGGACGGCGCCAAAATGATACTGCTAATTATATGTAAGCAATATAAAATAACACGAGACCAATTAAAGCAAGTAAAATCTTTATTGATCACGGTAAAGGCCCTAAGTACAATCTACTTGGTTGCTCTGAGTACCGACTGAGTGCGGTCGGGATTCTCTAACAACAACCTATCGATCGTCCAAAAGTCCCCTACACTGTAGCTACTGTGGGTATTTATAGCCACCGTGCCGGGGACAAGATTCCGGCCGCTCGGTATGTCTTCCACGTAGCCACCACGTGTCAACCTCCCGGGTGCCCTGCCTGTCAGCATAAAGAACCGCCACGCGTCCCTTCGTGTCCTTTTTGGCAGCTCTTTCGTCGAAGGGCTACCGCTCGGTGGTTGACACCAGCGTTCGGGCAACTTCCGGCCATTCCCGACCGGGGTCTCCATGGAAAAAGCCCGACCTGCCACCTGCAAAGATCAGAAGAGAAAGACAAAGGCAAGTCGGTCGTGGTGGAGCTTATGTCGGTCGGGATATTCCCTACCAGTGATAAAATTATGACCATGGAGCTTTAAAATTGTGAATATAGAGCTTCGAAGATTATGAATGTACAGTTATAGAGTTATGAATCTACAGTTATGGAGTTATGAATCTACAGTTATGAGATTATGAATCTACAGTTATGAAATTATGAATGTACAGTTATTGATCGAATTATGAACAAAGAGCTCTAACATTATGAACTTACAATTATGAACATATAGTGATAAAATTATGAACATAGAGCTCTAAAATTGTGAACATAGAGCTTCGAAAATTATGAATGTACAATTATGGAGTTATGAATGTACAATTATGACGTTATGAATGTACAGTTATAGAGTTATGAATGTACAGTTATAGAGTTATGAACGTACAGTTATGGAGTTATGAATGTATAGTTATTAACATATAGTAATAAAATTATGAACATATACTTCTATAACAAAGTGATCTGAAATTTAAAAAAAAAAAAAAAAAAAAAAAAAAAAAAAAAAGATAACAGTGCCTAAGGGCACTGTTACCCGTGTCCAGCAAGCATGCTGGACACGGGTCCAAGGCATAACGTTCGCTTGTAATTGGAGTATTATTTTTTAAAATCCTATTCAGCCCTAATTTCTCTCCATCTTCTTCGTTTCTGTGAGTTTCCGGTTCAGTCTCTCTTCGCCGAGTGGCCCGACGGCTACTCCAACCGGCGATAACTTGCTACTCTTGCGACTGCTACTGTGCTACGATTGAAGAAGACAGCGACTGGCGATTTTGGGGAGAGTGACCGGTGACCTAACGGCGAGCTGAGGCTGTGACTACTCCCTTCGACGGCTAACGATATTAGTGCATTTCGGCAGAGGTAATTTTTTGAATCTGCGCTTTTAATTATGCAATATACTCTTTATCTGAAAACTGTGACGAAGCTATGATAATGATGATGATGATCTTGCTTTGCTTTTCTCTCGTTTTTGTATTACGGAGTGGCCGTGTATTTGCTCTTTTCTCTCCGTGTGCTATTTGCAAAAGCTATAAATTGGTAACTCTGTGCCTTAGGGAAATCTTCTTGTCTTTTAAAAGTTTTCTTCATGTCCACATAGCTTTGGAATGATTTGCAGTTTCGAGGAATGAATAAGCTTACACTTTGATGAAATGGATAGCACAAAGTATTAGGAAAGTTCCAGATTTTTAATTAGTGTTCTATTGTTGTTTATGTATCTTGTTCTAAGGTACTAATTGGATGCTTTGCTGCAGGTGATATGAACATTTGTTCCCAGGAGGACATACATTTTTGCCAATTCTGATTGAGAGCCAGAATAGCTTTCCCATAATTTTGTTTATATTGATTTGTTAAGACACCAGTAAATGAAGTCTAACAGCAAAGCTCTGCTTGATTTGGAGGACAAAAGCACACCCTCTGCTTCGTCTTTGGAATCGAAACTTAGTTTTTGCAATGGAGATGAAAGTTTTCTGTCCCGAAGTACTAAACTCAACCCTCTTGATAAGAAACCTGCCATTTCCTCCATCCCTCAGAGCCAATTTCTAGGTAAAGTGAAGGATTTCCTGGGAGTGATATCGGAAGCAAATAAAAATTTGGAGCTTGATGCGAAAACCAATCCAGGGAAGAACTACGATCTAGAAGCTCTGACGGGGGAAGAATCTGAATATATTGAAATGGACTTGATGCTTGGCGTTGCAGAGCTGCAAACTGAGGAAGCTGTAGCTGCTGCTGAGTCTGCATTAGCGGGTTATCAACCGGTGATTCCTTTGGCTGCTAGTAGTAGCGAGACAGAATCAGAAGAGAGCAGTGATGAGGATAGCGATGGAGATGATGATGATGATGATGATGATGATGACGACGAGGATGGTGGTGAAGCTGAGAGACCTTCTCCTAAAACGGGGAAAACTGCTAAGCCTGTTGAAAAGGATTCTTCTTCCAGTGAAGCATCAAAGAACAAGCAGCCAAGAAAGAGGCCAAAAATTGTTGAGCTTTCATAGGACATGGAATATAGATGAGAGGGATCTGCATTACATTAAAATGATAATTGTCTCTACAAAGCTTATTGTTTCCCTTTTACTAAGCACAAAATTGTACTTCATTAGGTTTAATGACTTTCCTGGCACTGGTGCATTTCCGATGTGGGAGAGCTATCCAATTTTGAAATCCAAACCAAAGAGAGAAGATAATATTGGTCTTGTAGAAGAAGCTGTTGCGAAAAGCATTCTTATTAGTGAAGTTTAATTCACTTCTTCTAAACCTCTCTTGAGTTGTGATTAACAGTGCGCATAGATCTCCAAAGAAAGCTATTTTGTAGTATGCAACTGGTAAGTTTTTCTAAATATCTTGCAGGGAAGTAACATTTGTCAATTAATCTCTTTTATCAATATATAAATTAATATAAGATATTAAAAAATAAATTTAAAAAATCGAATTTTGTCAAATTATTTTACAAAATTTGAAATAAAACAATTCGTACGCAAATATTCGAAAAGAATTGTGCTCCGTAGTCCGTACTACGTAAAAATTTACTATAGTATAATATTATTTTTATTACATAATAGATTATTTTTAATTTATAATATTAACGTAATAATAATAATATAAAAGTACAATTCCAATATGCTTGTCAAAATTGCAATACGTATACAAAAAAAAACATTGATACATAGAAATGGCCGTAGTTAAACTAATCCCTTTTAATTACGTACTTAGACTAAATAAATTATCGGGTAACTCAGACCTAATCAAATTAAACAGAAGTCTAATTAACATAATTAAAATGATAAACCCAATTATCAATCTTAAAATGAGAATCGACATACGAAGCAGGAGAAAATACAAGGATTCTTATTATCTTCAGGCACATACAATGGCATACATAAATTCATAGCCTTCTGCTTCCAGAAATTGCAATATTTTCAGCTCCAACAAAGACACATAACACTAAAATTGAAAATTTTATTATTTTTTAGTCTCTAAGACCATAATTTTTCCCCAAATGTAAGTATTGGATTCATCGGTAATGGATGATTGATTCAAAGACGTGAAGGCATAACGGCGGTTTCAGTCAACTTCAACACGGTGCAAGCGTCGGGAAGCAACGATTTCCGCATCACAGCGTAATTCTTACCCTCCCACCGCCTCTTCGACAGCGTCTCTGCTATCTGCACCGCCGCCTTCACGGTCTCCTCCGCGTTGGCGTGCGCGGAGTCGATCAACCCTAACCCTAGCGCCTCCGCCGCCTTCAGCTTCGAGGCTTTCAACACTAACGCTCGCCTGGCAGCCAACGAGCTCACCTTCGATCTGATCATCGCGGAGAAGTAGTCCGGCAGGGGTAGCCCGATATCCATCTCGCTCATGTACAGCACGCCTTTGTCTGACCTCATGGTGACGTAGTCGTGACTCATGGCCAGCATCAGCCCCGCGGCGGCGGCGTGGCCGGTGACCGCCGCGATGGTCGGCATCGGGAGGGAGATTAGGTCCGCCACGATCGGCCTGAACATCTCCACCATGTGGAGCAGCCGATCCGAGGCGGCTTCCGGCGAGCCGGCGGCTTTGGCGTATTTCAAGTCGAAGCCGTTGGAGAAGAAGTTCCCCTCCGCCTTGGTGATCAGCACAGATCCCCTGGCAGCTTGGGACTTGACATCGGCTAGTGCGGCGCCGAGAGAGGTGATGAGATCCGGGTTCAACCGGTGCTCGCCGTCGCCGGTCAGCGTTAGATAGAAAATGTCGCCGCGCTTCTCTAACGTGCACATGGTGTGGAATGAAAACAACTCCGGAAATGCGAGGTGTTGTTACTTGTTAGGCGTGTATAATCCCTTTGGGAGTCGGGGTCGTCCATGGAAAATGACAATAGTACCCCTGTCTTTATTCCTTTTTCCATCCTCTCACGCCAAATTAAACTCTCTCCGTCGCCTTTTATCTCCAAAGGCCAAAGCGACATTGTCCGGTGAGTTCTCCTCTTTTACTTATTTCTTATTGAGATTTAATCGAGTGAAAGTTGTTGGTGGAAATATCTAATTGTTGGTGAAAATGATTCTGGGTGACATTAATAATTGACATATTATGCACTGACATAAATTATAATTTATTAATGTTATTTATTAATTATTAATGGTGTAAATGTTGTCCCTCAGTTTTGTGATTGATATTGTCTCTCCCCTAATAGGAAGAAGGAGAAATATTGTTGTCCGCTAAAGAGAACAAATGGGGGAAGAAGAAGAAAAAAAAATAGAGGAAAAAACGTTGTCTTCGAATGGAAAAAGCGAGTAATTACATTTACATTACTAATAATTCAATGGAGAAGTAATATATATCACATTTTAAAAATTAAGAGGTAACATTACACCACTAATAATTTATAAAGGAGAAAATTTCAATTTTGGTCCACTGACTATTGGGGTTGTGTTAATTGCAACACTTAACTTTCAAAAATGTTAATTTAGTACTTTGACTATGCAATTTCTATCAATTTTGGTCACGCCGGCTAAATTGCCGGCCAAATCTTATCGAAAAAATTTAATAGGTTAAATAATGAGGGTATTTTAGTATTTTACTCACCACCCCCTTCTTTTATGATGAACTCCTCTTCATTTCCGGCAACGAAAAACCTTGATTTAAAAACTCCATTTCTGGCGGCGAAGCGGTATTTTTGCAGCATTTGCGGCGTTTATTTCCAGAGTCATCGTTCACTGGGCTCCCATAGCGGCCATCACAGTAAAACAGCTCGGAAAATGCATGCTCCCCAGTAAAGTCGATGAATCATCTTCTTCTTCTTCGTCTGATGATGTTCACGACAATGAAGATTATGACGTTAACGAAGAAGAGGCAGAATCGGAAGCGGAGAAGAGGATGGTGTTCAAGTGCCCTTACAATTGCGAAAGGGTTTTCCAGAGTAAGAAGGCGCTGGGTGGGCACAAGCGACATTGCAATAACAGGGCCGCTGCCGCTGCAGGACTCGCCGGAGGTCATGGCTGGGAAGCTGCGGCCGCAGATGAGGACATAAATGGTGGTGGCGACTGGGAAGCTGCGGCCGCAGATGAGGACATAAATGGTGGTGGCGACAATACAATTAATCGATTTGAATGAAGTCCCAGATTCAGATGATGAATATAATGCTGTAGAATATAGGTGAAGATCGATCAAAAATACTAATTTAATTAAGTTGTTTTCCTGTCGGCGTTAATACTTCTGCAACTTCTGAAGCTCCATCTGTTGTTTGATTGAATATAATCTTCTCCCAAGATTGAATATAATCTATATATATGGAAGTGAGCTTCAGGAATATAATCATTGTTTCAACCTCTCTTTATACTATGTGTTGAGTTTTTAAATCAAGGTTGTTCGCCGCCGGAAATGGAGTTTTTAAATCAAGGTTTTTCGTTGCCGGAAATGGAGAGGAGTTCATCGGAGAAGAAAGGGGTGGTGAGTAAAAGACTAAAATACCCTCATTATTTGACCTATTAAATTTTTCCAGTAAGATTTGGCCGGCAATTTGGCCGGCGTGACTAAAATTGATAGAAATTGCATAGTCAAAGTACTAAATTAACATTTTCGAAAGTTAAGTGTTGCAATTAACACAACCCCAATAGTCACTGGACCAAAATTGAAATTTTCTCTTTATAAAAGAACATTAATAATTGACATATTGGTGATGACATAAGTTACAATTTTTCCTTATTACTCCATGGATATGTAGTTAAAAACTCGTGTAAAAATATGATCTTTCACCTACCTACGTGGACAGAGTTGATACCACAGTACAACTAATAATTTTAATTCCTTTCTATGTCAGATTGTGAGGTGTGATTGAAAAATTCTCTTCTGTTTCTATTGAATTAATTCCTTTCTTCCAAAAAAAATAAATATAATAATTTTAATTCCTATGAAAAAAAGAATTTAATTTTTTTACTCCATTCCTAAACTGTACGGAGTAATATTTACACATATGCAAAAAACATGGCCATATGCCCATATGCTCATATTCGCACGACATCAACAGAATTCCCTTTATTCCCGCTTTACCCTCCACAGCCTCAATAAATAATTCCCCAGTTTTTCTCTCTCAAACTCCTTTGAGTTTCAACGTTACTTCCGCTTCAATTCAATTCTCTTTCTATGGCGGAGAGCAAGTATTTGTTGCCGGAACAACGGCAGCCCAGCGAGTTGATGCAGCGGCGAGCGCAGTCGTCGATGCAGATCAACTGCGCCGCCGCGCATTGGAACGTGGCGATTCCGCTGCTGTCGCCGTTGGTTTCGTCGCTAGAGTCCAGGAATGACCTGCCGGCGGCGAATAATTTGTATTCTAATTCGAGTTCGAGTAGTAATATAAAGGACGAGCTGGCTAAGAAAGAGCCGGAAAAGCCGCCGCCGTCGCCGGCGGTGTTTAAGAGGTGGCAACACCCGGCGATGCCGTTTTGCCATGAGCAGGCTCCTCCTTTCGTGCCGTTTATACCGCGTATGCTGATCGATTAACTAAAGTATCAAAAATTTCGGTTATAATTTTGATGGGTATATAATATGTGTTTATATTTTTCCAACTTTACCCTTTTGTAAATCAAATCTTGTACCACTTCTAATAAAGAACTTATTTGTATTTTCTTGACTAAAACATTGGCCTTAGCTAAGAACAAGCTCTTTTGTTCATTACTAAATGAGGTCAAATCTCATAACGGTTTATGAAACCTTTTTTACTATTGCCCTTTAAAGGGGAAAAATCCTCCTCCAGGATCTCCACACTCCGATAGAATTATGGAAATATAAATTATCATAGTGACTCAGAAAATTTTAAATGTGAGAACAACTGTCTGGTGCTTCCAAAGAGCTTATCATGCAACTGTCAAAGCTCAATTCTGAGTCCTTGCCTCTCAATTTATCATTTGAAAACTAACGGAACTATTAGCCAAGGCATGCATTACAATTCCCACACTAGCCATTACAATTCCCACACTAGCCATATCACCCCACAGGAAATTATTATAAAAAAAAACCTTAAAATTGAAAGTAACTAATGTTTTATTCATGGTTCCCTAAGATGATGAATTTCAAAAATTTTATTTCAATATTTGATTGATTAAATGAACATTGATGGAATAAGTATTTAAAAAGACAAAAATATATGTTACATTGAATTATATGTGTTTATTATTATTATTATTATTATAAGCGCACTCTTGTGAGAAATGGCGCCCATGAGAGAATTAGGAAATAATTAGAAATGTCTATCTACAAAGATTTAGCGGATCAAAAGCAATTATAGAAAAATACAATGACATTATTAAAAAATATTACAATTTTTTTTTAAATATATTACATTTTTTTTAATAAATAATAAACATATTATTCATGATTAGTATTCATTTTTGGGAAAATTGTAATTTATGCCCCTCAAAAATAAGTCAATTATCAATGTTACCCCTGAATTATTAGTGGTGTAAATATTACCCCTCAATTTTTAAAATGTGACATATATTGCCCCTTCCCTGAATTATTAGTGACGTAAATGTGGTTACCCGTCGTCTTTCTTGTTCGAAGACCACGTTTTTTTCCTCATTTTTTCTTTCTTCGATTGTTCTCCTTCCGTCAACAACAATTTTTCTCCTTCATATTAGGGGAGGGGCAATATAGTCACATTTTGAAAATTGAGGGGCAACATTTACACCACTAATAATTCAGGGGTGGCATTGATAATTGACATATTTGTGAGGGGCATAAATTACAATTTTCCCTTAATTTTTTAATATGAATATTAAAGTTTCATATTGACACGACCCACATTTCATGGATAAAAATCTGCGAGATGACCTCACAGGAAGCCAAACACTCACTATTACGAAGTAAAATAAAACAAATAAAAAAAAAAAAGTTGGGTACAACTTTTTACAAAAACATTCCAAATTTTCATTATTGGAAAGAAACCAAAAGACATTGCAGTTAATAACATCAAAGTTTTTTTTTTTTTTTTAAATGAGGTATTGACAATAAAATTTATCAAAAACTACTCTAACAATCAGATGGAATCACCAAAAGAAAGTACAAGAAAGGTAGATAAGACTTGTTAGCAATGTTGAAAAAATCGCTAGGCGCCTGGGGACCGCCTAGAGCGCCTAGGAGGCCGAGGCGCCGATTAATCGGCGCTATTTTTGCAACAATGGTTGTTAAGAGCATCTCCAATAGAAGTTTTTTACTGATTTGAAAGAAAAAATATGGTTATGTTTGAGGAAGAAAAGAGAGTTTTAATGTTAAAATTGGGCCTTTTGTCCAAAGAAGGGGGAAAAAGAAAAGAAGCATGCTATTTGCTAACAAGCATGACGCTTGGACAATTCAAAAAGACAAGGCAGACTGTAGCAAAATTCAAAGTCATAATATCACATAACAAACCAAAGTGTAGCAGGCAAGCAAGCAGGATACAATGAAAGAAGGGGGTCTACTTGAGCAGGGTCTTGACAATGGACTTGACATTGAGCTTCTTCAAGTCTGTATAGGACTGCCCACATCCCACAAACATCACTGGTGCCCCAGATATGTAAACCATGGATAGTGCCGCTCCCACCTGTATGTAACCATCAACATATTTCACATTTAAGCCCCACTATATAACCATTCCATCCAAAAAGGGAAACAATAATCTACCTTGTCATCAATGGTGTCAAACTTTGTAAGGAGAATTCCATCAATTAACCTTGGATTTGGTGAGGGTGATAAATCGCCCAATTTCTACAACAAAAACCAATCACAATGCGTGTCAGACTATTATACTGTAAGATACACACACACATATATAGGGTGAACTACCAACCTGATTGAATTTTGATAATTGGTCAACGGCATCATTCCCCACCAGTGCCTCACCAACAAACAGGACTAAATCTGGAGTGTTGACATAAATAAGCTTTGATAGTGCTCTCATCAATGGTTCATTATCCTGCGGGAAGCAAAACAAAATATATACTCGTGACTAAGAACATACCACACACACAAGAAGATATAGTGCATCCTACCATGCATTTAAAGCACCCAACTGTGTATGTATATGTAAGTATGTATGCTGAATATACACACACACACATAATGGAATTCTTTTGGGGTTGGTTTGGTGTGATAGGGAGATTCTAATTAAATCCAAATACCTGCATTCGACCAGCTGTATCAACGAGGACAACATCAGAACCATTGCGAGAGGCCTCTTCGATTGCTTCCTTCGCAACAATTGCAGGGTCTTTCTCATAGCCCTTCTCAAATATTGGGATCTATAAATGCCAAAGATTAGGCATCACAATCATTTTCTCATATTTTAAGTGATTTAGCAGAACGCATAAAGCCCTTAGAACAAAATTAAATGTCACAACATACCTGAAGCCTACGAGCATGAGTTCGTAGTTGCTCCACAGCTCCTGATCGGAATGTATCACAAGCAGCCATCATTACATTGATCTTATGCTGCAGAAGCCAATAAGCAACCTGTATACAGCAGACAAAATAGCTTGTCAAATACATGAAGAACATTTCTATATTTCTATATAACTACCATAAAGCACCAAACATCAATTAACCTTTGCAAGATTGGTTGATTTCCCAACTCCATTAACTCCTACAAAAACCACGACATATGGTTTCCCTTGTTCCTTTGCTGTGTGAACATCCCTCAAAATGTCTATGGAATGTTTAGGAGTCAATATGCGGACAAGAGCCTCCTCCATTGCAGCCTGGTTTGATGAACACAGCCTTTCATATTAGAATGTTACAATAAGTAAACAAAAGATTAAAAATATGCTTGCAATTGAGATAACATATGCTAGTTAATTCTTTTGGAGCCTGCTTCTATGTTAATGATCATATTACCTTTACTATTGAAGAAATTCTAGTAAAGGAGGCTTGCTTTTTACCCTCAAGGTTGGCTGCAACTGACTCACAGAGCTTTTCGGCAATTTCCTCAGCCTACAAAGAATATCATTAAATCTTTAATAAAAGCCTAGAAATTTTTAAAAAAATTGTCGAACAAAAACCTGGTCTTGGATCAATAAAAACAGGCAGAGCATTATATGAAATAGCATACCACATTCTTGGTCATAAGCATGTCCTTAAGAGCTTTTAAGGGTAGTTCCAGGTCTGCCTTCTCCAAATTTGCCTTACCTGCAATACTGGAAAAAAGGGTAGGGCAAGTCAAAAATGATATCAGTGTCAACAGTTTCAAAATGGATACGACCCAAACCAGTAACAGATATATGCATCCGTACGCTAAAAAATAAGGGCAAATTTATAGTCATTAGCACCTAACATTGAACAACATAATCACAATAATGACCCACAAAGTATATGAACGATGATAGTGGCTGCATCCAAACTATGTTCTCATAAATCTTGGCTCTGAGTTCACCTTACTGCATACATTATCATTCACCAATTCTCTAAGTCTGTTTACTAATATATTTGTGGTTGCCATACAACAGAGTATCAACAGAACTAAAAATCGGTTACCACAGAAGCAGGAATAATACTCTTTCCTCCTCAAATAGAAAAAACCAATCATTAAAGAGTTTTCTCAAGGGGGAAGACAAGAAATTCATTGACTTCAAATCAGCCAATACTAATACCGAATAACAAGAAAAAGAATGTGGGGATGATGAGAACAGAATAGGGAAAGCAAAAAAACTAAAAGAAAATAAAATTAGGCAGGAGGAGAAATCCCACTTCTTCATAGAGAAGGGGTAGGGGAGTTACCTCTGGAACATGGATGAGAACCACCATTTTTTCTTTGTATCAACCTTGCGATCTTTATAAGTTTCCTCTTCATCCTCCTCACTTTCACTGTCATTGATAATTTCCTCTTTGTCCATCATACTCTCACCTTGATCCACAGCCACAGCTGCTACATTCTGCACCTCATCCTCATTTACATGGTCAGTAAAATCTAACTTTGGCTGTGAAGGTGAATCATCCCAGACTCTATTCTTTTTCATTATTTTCTTTGGCTCTGCCTTAGAACCTTTTTTAACAACAGTGTCAGTTTTCTTTCCACCTTTAGACCTAAGTTTATGTAACTTATTTACATCAAATGCCCCAGTTTTAGAGCTAACATCCTCTTTAACCTTATCACTCCCCTTTGCAGGCAATTCCTCATTCTCAAATCTACAATTAGAATCACCATTTTCTAGTGAGCGGTTTTTAATCTTGTCCTCCTCTCCACCATCATCTTCTGATTCACTTTTTTTATTACCTCCATCAAACATGCCCCTCTGAACTTGCCCTTGCTTCTTTACAAGAGGATTCTTCATAGGCTTCCCCGCCTGCTTTGTTTTCTTCATTTCCTCAACACGTGCCTCTGCCTCCTTCCTAAGCTGTTGAAAAATATCATCAAAGTCATTGTACAAGGTCCTTTTGGGATCATATATCTTTGAGAACTCTTGCTTAACCATTGTTAGTAGATCATCAACATACAAAAGATGGAGAATCCTCTGATAAACAGCAACAAATATGAGTCCAAGTTCATTGTGAAATGTCCACTTAAGAGTATAAGCAGCTCCTGGCACATCATAATTATAGTACGTAGAACCTGATCGTTCTTCCAAGAGACAAGACCGAATCAAGATGTCAATTGGAGAACCTTTAAGA